GGGTGGCGAGTTTGCGTGTGGGGGGAGATTGGGATCGAGGGGGAATCGTAGTCGGGGGGGAATCACGACGGCAGGAGAGGAGGAGAAGAAGAAGAAGAAGAAGAAGAAGAAGATAAAAAGAAGAAGAAGAAGATAAAAAAGAAAGAAGAGGAGGAAGAAGAAGAAGATAATGAAAAGAAGAAGACCAAGATGAAACGGAGAAGAAGAAGAAGAAGAAGAATCGAAGAAGACGAAAAAAAAAAAAAAGAAGGAAAAAAAAAAAATTGTCGTCGATTACTTATCTGCGCGGGGTAGCAACGACGATGACGAGGATGGAACTGCGTGGCGACGAGGACGACGGACACAGCGATGATGACGTGGCACAACGACGATGATCGCGATGGTGACGATGATGATATGGCACGACGACGAGGATCGCGACTATGACGGTGATGATGTGGCACGACGGCGACGATCGAGAAATGGCGTGGCACTACGACAACGATCACGACGATGATGCTAATGATGGCCAGGTGATGGCAACGAAGCAGGGTGGGTCGGGCGGGTTCGAACCGCTCTGATACCAGTGTGACGGGCGTGAGGTTGAGGGAGAGCCGAGGGAGGGGGGAGAGAGAGGGAGAGAGTGAGAGCACACACACACACTCACTCACTCCACACGACTGAGGGTCGGACGCAGACACAGTGGCACGGCACAAAGTCGAAGTCTTGGATTCCGAATGCCGAAACAACAAGTCACACTGAGTACGAGTACAACAGCAGAAAACTGGTACGAGATTGGTCCCCGTACCGTACGGGGAGCCGGTATATGTATCGGTGACACGTACGGTACCAGGGGCATTTATGCAAAGGCCCCGAGGGCAGAACTGAAAAATGCGGTATTTGAAAGTAGCGCCCGAATTGCACCAGGGCGCCAATCGTCCAAAATCCTACTGTACCAAAGGAGGGGTTTGGAAAAAGGGTGCCAGGCCGAAAATGGGATGCAGCCGAAACAGCAAAAAGATAGACCAGGGATCGCACCCTGGAGGAGTCCGTAACAGTGGGACTTGTTGTTTCCACATTCGGAATCCAAGACTTCGACTTTGTACCCTTGCCACTGTCTGCGTCCGACCCTCAGTCGTGTCGAGTGAGTGAGTGTGTGTGTGTGCTCTCACTCTCTCCCTCTCTCTCTCCTCTCCCTCGGCTCTCCCTCAGCCTCGCGCTCGTCCAACTGGTATAAGATTTGTTCGAATCTGCCCGACCCACCCTGCTTCGTCGTCACCACCTGGCCATCATCAGCATCATCGTCGTGATCGTCGTCCTAGTGCCACGTCATCGTCATGATCGTCGCCATCGTCATGATCGTCGCCATCGTGCCACGACATCATCGTCATCGTCGTGATCATTGTCATAGTGCCACATCACCGTTGTCGTGGTCGTCATCGTCGTGATTGTCGCCGTCGTGCCACATCATCATCGTCATCGCCGCGATCGTCGTCGTCGTGCCACGATCATCGTCACCATCGCGATCGTCGTCGCCATGCCACGTAACCATCGCCGTGCCCGTCGTCCTCGTCGTCGCGCCGTACCATCCTCGTCATCGTCGTTGCTACCTCCCCGTAGATAAGTAATCGCCGACAATTTCTTATTTTTATTTTTTTTATTATTATTTTCTTCTTCTTCTTCTTTCTCTTCGTTCTCTTCTTCTTCTTATCTTCTTCTTCTTCTTCTTCATTGTCGCGACTCTGATCCCGCTCCCTTGCAATCTCCCCTCCCCGACTCTCG